GGGCTACGCGACTGTGCGCAGCGGGGGGGGGGGGCGCGCGCGTGGGCAGCAGTGGTGGGGGGGGGCGTTTTCGTGCGTGGGCCTGTCTAGCGCGGGTGACGACCTAAAACGGGCAGGGGCGTCGCGGCGGCCTACGGGCGGCTGCGTCGTCCGGGGCAAGGGTCGACGGGCGGCTAGGGGGGCTGCTCACGGGCGGCGCAGGTCGCGTGGGCGGCTAGGGGTAGGCGCACGGGCGGCTAGGGGTCGGCGCACGGGCGGCTAGTGAGTCGCGCGCTAAAAAAAAAAAAAAGGGCCGCGCGCGGCACTAGCGAGCTGCGCACGGGCAGCAGGAGGAAGAGAGGGGGCGCACGAGGGCGCTCTAGGAGACGGGCGCTCGAGGACGCTCTAGGAGAAGGGCGCTCGAGGGCGCTTCGTGTGGTGGGCCCTTAGGTAAGTGGTCCTAGGACTAGGACCTAAGCTCGTAATACCATGTCAGAATGAAGAAGTGATTGAACTATGAAAGATGAGAGTACAAATATGAAACCCTAGAGTTGTGTACCCCCTAAAGGCTAACCCACTATAGCCTACACATCAATAACATATATGATAATGTTTGACACGGAGGGCCTGAAGCACATGTTGTCCTCGCCGGACTGGACGACGAGCTACCCCAACATTGTGCGTTTGTGGATTGCCGTGGCCGTGCTCCCGGTGAGCACTTTGGAGTGCAAACGCGGGTTCTCCCGGCAAAACGTGATCAAGAGTTGGCTGCGGGGGAACTTGTGCGACGCCAAGCTTGGCGAACTGATGACAACCTCACTTTTGAGCTACGACATGGAGTGGCCCGCGTTGGTAGCGAGGTGGCGTGCCTCGAAGAAGAGGAGGCCCGCAAATGATGTGCTGCTGGCGGGAGGGGAGAGGCATAGCAAGCGAACGAAGAAGAGTAGGGCAACAGCAGCGGAGGCAGCAGCAGCAGCTGCTGCTGCTGTGGTAGCGGCAGAGGCAGCAGCTCGAGAAGCAGCTCTGGCAGCAGAGGCAGCCAGACTGGATGCAGAGTTCCCGTGGCTCAGCCGCAGGGGGAAAGAAAAAATCCATATTCCAGTGTCGTCTGATAGCCTAGACAGCAGTAGTGAGGATTATAGTGGAAGCGATTCTGACTGAACCGTAGGTAAATCTCTATGTCCAGTAAGTAGAAGTAAGACTGTTAGAAGTTTGTAGATAGTGTATATAAGTTGTGTAGATGTGTAGACCATAAAAACAAAATTCAGACTAGTGTTAAAATTTCATATGATATTTCAGATCAGTGTTGAAGTTTCATCTCACACGTCAGACTAAAAAAAAAAAAATCATAATCTGAACGTAAGACGAAATCTTTTTTTTTGGCACATGTTGTCAGACAGGCCAGAATCCTAGCGAGAGCCCTGCCATAAGGGGTACAACCCAATTAGGGTTAGTACCAAGGCTCTGGTTATCATACCAAATTGGTCTGATGGTCTGGAAATCAGACCTACTTTTTTCATTTCATATGATTTTCAAGACCATCAAATTTATTTCATCTGATCCATAAGACGAAGGATTATATTTCGTCTGAAAAAAAAGTCCAAGTGTTTTAATTCGTCTGACATTTCAGACATCGCGTATGTGTTCATCTGATACTGACAAAGTACCCCCCCCCCCCTCGCTACTCCTTCCCCTGTGTCCGTGCCCCCTCAAGCCCCTCATGCCAATCCAAGTTGCCCCCCCCACAAAGTCCCTCGCTCGCTCCTATACCAGGCCAGCCCGTCCATCAAGCCCCTCACTCCTACTATAACCATTACAGCCCCCCCCACTCAAGACCCCCTCCCTCCCCCCCCCCTTGCCCCCTCACCCCACGCGCCCAGTCCCTCGTACAACAACCCCTTTCCCCGCAACTCCCTCCACCCCCTTGGTCTCGCACGTCTCACAAAAGACACGGACCACCGTCTCTGTACATGCCCCTCGCAGCCCAACCCCTGCACCCCCGTTGCCACCCAACTGCCACACATGTCTGCTAGCATGCTGCCAGCGCTGCTGCCAGTGGCGTATTTATACTTCGTAGAATCATATTCAACTTATGCTCTACAGTGTATTTGGCTAAATCAGACTGTGAACATAAATTCGTCTGAAAATTCAGACATGGCCTCAACATTCGGCTGACAAAGCAGAAAAAAAAAAAAAAAAAAAAAAAAAAAAAAAAAAAAAAAAAAAAAAAAAAAAAAAACCCTTCTGAACGTCAGACGAAACCTTTTCAATTTTGTTTTTTTTCAGACGGGCCTAAATCCTAGCAAGAGCCCTGGTTAGTACTTGTACCCAACTTTCTGTTCAATCCAATAATTCTCGTTCAGTATTCCGACAAACCAGAGCCTTGCTGGTACCTATTATACTTCACCCTTATTGCCTATGGAGTGTTTGAAATATCCGTGAAGCACACTATTATGCGTGAGACTATTTCTCGGATGGGTTTGCAGAATATCAATTGAATAATTAGACTCAATCTAGCTAAATCACACTAGTGCCCAGCTTGAGATGTGAGTCAATAGCACGACCTAGAAAGTTGACGAATGTATGTAAGCCACACCTGTAAAATTGGTGTACAAATGTAGTCTTTGATGCACTGAGTAAGAGTAGCAACAGACGAGCCTTGAAGCTCTGGAGAGTTAGTGATGAGGGAACCAGGGAGGTAGCTCGTCTGACGCTGCTGGGATTGTCGGTCCTTAGCGACACGGCGTCAAACGTTCGCCTTGCTTGCTAAGCGACTCGCCGATTTTATGTAAAGGCGATGGCGCAAGCAATGTCACTCGCGTCGGGGTTGTTGCTTCTCGCAACTCCTCGTGTTTCCCTCCAGAGCTCCGTTGCTTTGCGATCAGGTAAGACATTTCAGAACTGGTTCGTAAGGAAAGCGTTTCGAGCCGAAGGCTCCAAAGGTTATAGAGCAGACAAGCGTCAGTTTCAATATCTAGATAATAGCTTCAAGCATACATTTTTCTTGAAACCCGGTAGGATGGAATGATTTGCTTTCATAATGTATTTGTGATCGTCAGCGTGGTCTCGGTTACTGACAGCCAATATCACAATGTCCTGAGAGTCGATGCACGTAACATTTCCTTCGTAGCATCGAAACCTTGGACCCCTATGCCTAGTTTCAGAGTGCGAACCTTATCCCGAGTCGACATGACTGCACTATCCTGTTAGTTCCGTTTACTGAGAGCTATGATCGATGAAGTTGTGCGTCTGTTGTTGAACTCTTCAAGGGCCTGTGCTAGCCGTTCGATGTGTGGCATCTGTCTCCATCTAACGAGCGTCTAAGGCAGCTTAACCGCTGCCTTTTACCCAATCGGAAACAATGTATCCATTGCACTCCCGAAGCACTGTATATCCGTACCCGCTGTGAGCCATTCGCTCTCCCGCTCTGCTTCTCCCCATCCGCTCTTCCTATTCATTGACGATGAAAACTTTCCTGCCCTTCCCTCCTATTTGATGACCTGCATTCCGCCTTGATGCTCTGGCAGCTTGCTCCGCTCGTGCAGACCTTTGAGACGACTCTAATGGCACCTTCGTCCGTTTTTCTGATCATGAAAACCATTTCCGCCTATCTGGTGACCTGCATTCCGCCTTGGTGCTCTGGCAACTTGCTCCATTCGTGTGCCTTTCGTCACCGCCACCGGCCTCCACAGCGATGCTCAGGTACGCGATTCTGTCCATCACCCGCCGTCAGTCTACCGCACCGCGTCAGTCAGCGCGATAGTCATTTCCGACAGTCACTTCCGTCGGTCACCGCTTCAGTCGCACTCACTACCGTCACTCACCTCTTTCCGCCTCCACAGCGATGCTAAGGATCTTCTTCGCTCAAATCATGTTTTGCTTCCTCGCGGCATTCCGCAGATTCGCTTGGACCTAAGTCTTTTTTCAACCAGCCCTCTACCTCCTCGCCTTCCGTTTTGCTCCTCCCGTCCATCCCGTTCCCGGCTCCTGTCCCATTTCCTTCCTTACTGTACCACCCCTGTGCCCTCCTCGTGCGTCCACATCTCACGCTTGCACTTACCCATCTCCATCCATGTCCATAACTTGCCTTCCGTTTTACTCCTCTCGACCCTCCCGTTCTTGGCTCCCTTCCCATGTCCTTCCGTACTCTACCAGTTTTTAGGCGCTTGAAAATTCGCCTCAAAAGCTCCTCGCCTTCTGTTTCGGTCCGGTGACCCTCCCGTTCCTCGCCCCTGTCCCATTCCTTCCTTGCTCTACCATCCCTGTGCCCTCCTCCTCGTGCGTCTATATCTTCTGCACACACTGACCCATCTCCATCCATGGCCGCAGCGTGCCTTCTGTAATGGTCTTGGATGTTGAATCTTCCTGGTCTATACTAACAGCTTCTCTTCTTGGTAATCACCGCATTCAACGCCTTTACTGAGGCTTTGCATTTTTCCACTCCTCCCTCCCCTCGTGCCCTCACCCCCTCCCCCGGAATTCTCCTTCCCGCCAACTATTGGCAGCGGCGCGCAATGACGTGTCAAGCCGTGGCCGTGGCTGCCGCTGACGCCGCACCTGCCCCGCCTGCGTGTGAGTTGCCTGCGTCGCTTCTGAAAAGCAATGCTTCTTTCGTCTTTCCTTTCGTCTCTTCGTCTTCCAAGTTCCACCCCGCTTTTGTTACAGCATTTCGATTCGATTCCTCCATCGCGAATCAACTCGACTCATAGCGCACCTCGATCCGTTGTCCATGCGATGCCAATCCCGTGCCCCTCCGTGTGAGCAGTCGGCAAGGGCAACACCGTGTGGGTGGATAAGGAGAAGAAGTAACTCAACAGCGTGGAGGTAAGGGGTTGCTCAGCCGAAATGGGTGGGGGGTAAGAGAGCATTGGGGGCTGGAGAGGATGCGGGGAAAGAGGGCAACATCGTGCGGGTGGATAAGGAGAAGAAGTAACTCAACAGCGCGGAGGTAAGGGGTTGCTCAGAGGAGTGGGTGGGGGTAGGAGGGCGTTGGGGGTGAGAGGGCATTGGGATAAGAGATAATGGCGGTGAGAGGGCATTGGGGTAAGAGAGAATGGGGGGTGAGAGGGCATTGGGGATATGAGAGCATTGCCACTCCTCCCCCTCCTCCCGACCTCCTCTCTTCACTCCCCACCCTCCACATTCTGCGCTCCCCTTTGCCGTCGTCCTCTTCATCCGTCTCCATCTATCCACCCTTTCTCTTTGTCCTCGTCCCTCCATCTCTCTTTATCTGCACTCCTCTCTCCTTGCTCTCCTCTTCCCCATCCCACGCCCCATCCCCCCGCTCCCTCCGTCTTATCATCGCCATCCGTGTGTCAGTTCAAGGCAATGAAACGTCCGTTCATCCTTATGCGCAGTCCTTCTCCACCCCCCCTCTTTCCCCCTCCCCCTCCCCTCCCCCTCCGCATCCCCCTCCCCATCCCCCTCCCCATCCCCCTCCCCCTTCCCCTCCCCCCCTCCTCTCCCTTGCCTGTCCTTACCCACGTTCGCACATTTTTCTGTTGATTGTCGCAAAACAGCCATCTTTTTCCATCTTAGCTAAAGGATGACTGTTTTTCCTTTAGCTAAGGATGCATTTCCCCTCCTCTTCCCTACGTTTTGTCCCTCTCCCCTGCATTTCCCCCTCTCTTCCATGCGTTTCCCCATCTCCCCTGCGTTTCCCTCTTTCTCCCCTGCGTTTCCCCCCCTCCCCTTCGTTTCCGCCCCTTTCCTTGCTTTTCCCCCCTCTTCCCTGCGTATCCCCTCCTCTTCTTTTCGTTCCCCCCCACTTCCCTGCGTTTTCCCCCCTCTTCCATGCGTGGCTCCCCTCTCTTCCCTGCTTTCCCCCCACACCTCCCTGCCTTTCCCCCCTATCCCTCTCCCCCTTTCCCCTCTTCCCCATTCCCTCCACCACGCCTCCTCGCGCACTCCTGCTGCGCCCACTCCTCCCTCCCCCACTTCCCCCTTGCCCGCTCCCCTGCTCCCACGACCCCCTCGCGCACTCCGCCCTCGCGCATGACCCCCGGCAGTTCAAGGCAGTGGACCATCCGCCCTTCTTCACGGGGTTGGACTGCATCTACCAGGCCCGAGGCAAGGTGAGGCGCGTGGAGTGTTGTGGGATGTAATCCTGGTTGGGATTTGACCACCTGGGCGCAGCTAGCTGACACGGTGGCACTGCCATGCCACCATCCGCCCTTCTTCACGGGGCTGGACTACACCTACCAGGCCCGAGGCGATGTGAGGCACGCACTGGGAGGTGTGCGGCCAAGGGGGCGGGAGGAGAGGGGTGCACTGGAAGGTAAAGGGTGCTCATTGGGGGGAGGGGTCGCACTGGAGGGTGACGGGGTGCATTGGGGGGTGAGGGAAGCACTGGGAGGTATTGGGACGTATTGGGAGGTGCGGGAGGTATTGGTTCCGCCTGGGTTGTGGAATGTAAGATAGATCAGGCTTTACCACTGTGACAGTTGCACTATCATGCCACCATCCGCCATTCTGTACAGGTCTGGACTACATTTGCCAGACCATGTAACCAGCGGTGATGTGACCAGTGCAATGATGTAACATTTGTTGGTGCTGGTGTAATATTCTTCTTCCCTCTCATGCCGTCTGTTCGCTGCTCGTCATGCCCCTTCCTCTCCTCCCTCTCCCCTTGTTTCGACCTTGGGCAATACTAGTGGCAGATAAAATGCTCTGGTAATGCCTTATTGTTTGCTGCCCTAAGAATGCTCTGCTAAAAAGCTCTGGTATTGCCTTTTTGTCCCCTTACTCTGCCGGGCGCGTTCTCTCCTTCTTTGCTGCCTTGTCCAGATCTTGGACCTTAAAGAATTTAGTGGCACCCAGTATGCGCTGGTAAGCAATAAATAGTCTTAGACTTCTACTGTGAAGCGATTGCATTGATATGACGAGTCCTGTCGTGTCTACATCGGGCATGCATGTGTGCTGGGTCATGTCTGTCTGTCCTAATGGTATGCGTAATATTTGGAATGACTCAAAATGCCCACCACTTGCATGCTCATGACATAATTGTCTGTGTGCTGGTTTTAGAAGCTTCCGTGCGTTTCATTCCTGTTCTTTTCTTTTCTTTTATTTTCTTTTCTTTTTTCTTGTATTGTTTTTTTCCCTTGCTCTTTCAGCTTTCTTAGGCAGGAGTGCCCACCCCCCCTGCATGGCTTCCCACCAGCATGCTCATAAAGGTATGGATGAACCATCTTCCATGCATGGTGGTATGATCTATTTTCCTTGCATTGTTTGTATGTTCTAGGTTCCATGCGTGGATGGGACATGTGCCATGCATGTACGGTATGTGTTCTGGATGGGTGGTATGTGCAAAGTATGAGTGGTATGTTCCATGCATCGATGGATCATGTAACATAGTTGTATGGTTGGCATGGTACCATGTGCCATGGATGGGTATGAGCTGCGCATGGGTTGTGCTGTTTTCTACCATGTGTGGTATGTGTTCTGCGGTGACACTTATGATGGGTGGACCGTGGAATATTGTTGATACAATCAGTCGTGAAAATGGGGTATGTGTGATGCATGGGAATGTGGATGCCACACATCTATTATTTCCGTACTGTATGGTGCATGGTATGGGGCCAACGGATGCTTCTTGCCAGGCCTTTTTGCATGTAAGGGTGTGAGTGATGTGCAATCGACTCTTCGATGCATCGATTCATGAGATTGTGGCTATATTGGGGTATGTTCAATGACGATGCCATGTGTTTTTCTGGTGGCATTTTTCTGCAGACCCCCAAGTTGGAATACGTGATGACTTGAATGCCCCTCAGTGCTCTTACAGTTGTAACAGCCTGCAATGCAGTTCTGGAAGTAATTACGGTATCTGCATTTATTTTTTGTGCTGTTGGCATGGGTGTGGTCTCACTTTGGAGAAACCAAAAGTTCTGCATACCGTACTAAACAGGGTTGGCGGCGGGTAGGACTGTCACGCTTTGCACATTGCAAGGTTGAAATTACAGATTTATTATCTTGGACTAACTCATTGAAGTACAACGGGTTCTTACGGCACTCAACATCAGTAACATTCTTATCTAGGGTGTAGAATATTAATCTGCAGCATTGTACCCTTCAAGTTCCTGTTTCGTGAAGGATGGAGCTGATTGCGGTAGGTTGAGGAAGTTCACAAACGAACTCGTCCTTATCGCAGACGGCCACCTCCTTCGTTGCTTCCTCGGCGTATATCCCCTCCCCGCCGCAATCGTCGCCGGGGAAGCCGCACTCATAAGGCTGAGATGCCTGTCATGCTCCGCAAATCGCTGCTGCGCTTCGACAAGCTCCAGCGCCGCGACTCTTATACGGCATCGCGCGTCGTCCATCCACCCTGGATCGCAGGCGCGCGCCGCGTCCAAGCAGCCGCACATTACTTCCGAATTTGAATCGTAGCTTGAAGCAAGGCCGTCGTCAGTATATGGGCTGCATTGGCAGCTAGAAGCGGGTCCGTTAGATATGCCAATCGCGCTGTCGCAGCGGCTGCTGACGTCGTTGTTGATTCGATGGTGGTTGTTGTCGCGATTAAACACTGACTCGCACGAGCCCTGCGAATAATTCCTCCCCAGAGACAAGCCCTGCGACGAAGCGTCGCTGTTGTCATTGATTTCGTCGTCGTTGCTGCTAAAAACATGGCTTCCGCCAAGCTGCGCCTCCCACGATCTTTCAGATCGAAATCTTCGCGATACTGCCGTCGCCTCCGCCGCCGCTAGCTGAGAGCACGACGCGGACTCACGGAGGCCGCCACCGTCGCCACCGTCACCACCGCCACTCTTAGTACGAGTAGACGTGGGGAAGAGCGGCGGCCATCCCACGATCATGCTCCTCATGAGGCGTGTCGGCGAAAAAGGTTGTTCCTTCATCGCGGAATGCTGCGAACTGGCAACGAAAACGCGTTTCACACTTACGACGGCGATTGGAGTGCGACCGCGTGACGTAACCCTGGTAGGAGACTTCAAGTCGGGGGATGGGAAATGGATCTTAATTCGGATCTACGCCGCGGTGACCAGTCACTGAGCAGGAACGGGGTTCTTACGGATATGCAAAACTGATATGGTCTCGGCGAGATAGAGACGTATTATCCAGAGAGCTCGAAACAGGGAGAAGAGTACCTGCGCAGAGCCCGCGGGGAAGTCATTGCGGGTATGGTTGGGGCGGAGGTACGCCAGCCCGACCATACCCGGAAGACTCGCGCAAGGCCACACCACAGTGCGGACCGCTGAGGCGCACGGGGTAAAAAAATCGCACAGTTCACTCAGATTCCGAATTTCGCGGGAGCGCCGCTGCCACTTTGGGGAGGATCGAGTGTGGCACAAACGGACTGGAAATTTCCCTAAGTACACTGCGGGACTGTCTGTTGCCGTTTCTCGGGAAAAATGGGCGGTACGTAACGAGTTTCCTGAGTCAGATACATTGTCCGAAGTGAGAAATTTCAGGACGTGAATCGTAATCACAATCGCACCGATCGAGACTTAACAGCGGCTGCTCGTTACTGGGCGGCAGCTGTGAGAGAATTGAGAATGAATGATTGAACTAGGAACAAGATGGGTAGAGAACACAAAAGTGTTGTACCCTCTAAGAACTACCCCACTACAGCCTAAACAGACTATAGCAGATATATGTTTGACACACCCCCATAGGCAAAGTGGGGGAGAACAAGAGGACACAAGACCAGTCAAGAAAGACAAAGCAAGCTCAGGGTGGATCACAAAGTCACCACGCAGTCTGAGCATAAGCAAATGGCCACAAGGCCAGTTCATATGCAGAGTCATATAAAAGAAAACAAACAATAAACAAAACAAAACCTAGCAAGAGTAAGCATGCAGGTATATGTATAAAGAGTACAATACAGGCAGAGTCAGGCAGAAAGCAAGTGAGGCACAGTAGGTACAAGGCCTAACACAGTGCAGAAACGCTGATGATCACAAGGCTGAAGTGCCTTGGTGAAAACATCAGCAGTGTTGGCCTGAGAGACCACGTACGCAAGACGAAGCTGGCCACGCTGCTGTAACTCTCGAGCAAGGAAGTAGCGCAGAGCAATGTGCTTCGTTCTGTGCTCCAGTCTGTGCTCCTGACACAAGGCCAGCATGGCCTTGTTGTCGACGTACAGAACTGGAGGAGAACGAGGCGCCTCTCCCAAGTCGGTCAGCAGGTAGGTAAGCCAGCGTAGCTCCTGTGCAGCCATGGCCCCAGCGTAGATCTCAGCCTCACAACTGGAGCTGAGAACAAAAGAAGAGCGGGTAGACCGCCAAGAGACAGAACCGGAGCCAAGACTGAAGGTGTAGCCCTGTGACGACCGCTGCGTAGCCAAGTCCTCAACCCAGGAGGCGTCAGCGTGACCAGTGAGAACAACTCGAGCCCGTCCTCCAAGCACGAGCCCCATGCCCGATGTACTGCACAAGTATCGCAACACCCTCTTCGCAGCATCCCAGTGCACCTTTCGGTGCCTGCCGGGAGCCACGTAGCGAGCCAGAAGGCTAAGAGGGTATGCGAAGTCAGGTCGTGTGCAAGTCATCAGGTACATGAGGCAGCCCACAAGCTCTGGATACGGGCCACTCGGCTCTACGGACTCGTCCGAAGGTGGAGCTGAGAGCAAGTGACCGGTAGGCAGAAGAGTGGACTGTGGCGAGGAGTATGTGAAGCCGAAGCGCTGAAGGACCTGCTACACCATGTGTGACTGAGTCAAGGTAATGGTGCGCTGTGCTCTGTCCCGGGTGATCCGCAAGCCAAGATAGCTTGTCAGCTCAACCAGGTCTGTGCACGTGTGTCTCTTCTGCAACTCGGACTTCACGTGGGCGAGTGCCTCCGTGTCAGCAGTAGCAAAGATGAGGTCGTCTACGTACACGAGAACGTAGAACGGCGGCAGAGTAGCGTCAGTGCGTAGAAACAGAGAAGGGTCAGCAGTGGAAGGAGCAAAACCTAGAGAAGCAAGAGTCGTCCTGAGCGTGTCGTGCCACTCACGGGGCGTTTGGCGGAGACCGTAGACTGGCCGGCGGAGGCTCCACTGGGTACCAGCAAGAAACGACCCAGTGAAGCCAGGTGGGCAGCGCAGCCAGATCTCCTCGTGCAGGCTGCCCTGTAGGAAGGCTGTGCTGAAGTCAAGCGAGTGGAGCTCGTAGTCACGCTGAGCAGCAACGTGCAGCAGTACCCGAAGAGTGGTCATCTTCGGGGTAGGGGAGAAGGTCTGAAAGAAGTCAACTCCCTGTCGCTGACTGAAGCCACGTGCAACGTAATGCGCCTTGAAGGCAGGCGGAGAACCCGGCGGCCGCTTCACCCTGAAGATCCACATGCCACTGACGATGTTCGCCCCAGGTGGGGGAACCTCGTCTACGTAGGTGCCTGTGGACTTCCAGGAAGCCATCTCTGCGTCCATGGCTGCCTGCCACTGAGAGGAGTAGGGACCCTCTATCGCCTCTGCGTAAGAGCGCGGGGTC